CACCACCACCACCACCACCAGGAGTCAGTCGCGTTTTTGATAGTGTATTTTGCTCCATTTACCCTGCTGAAGCTGGGTTGAGCGCCGAATTTGGAGAAAAGTCACCCTCGTAATTGTCGATCTGATCCACTTGCTGCACATGGTGTTTCAGGCGCTAATGCAGTTCAGATTCCTTACCTCTCATGGTGTTGGTGGCTTGTTTGAGACAAGCTTGTCTTGCCCCGGCCCCAGTCGTTCAAGGTATGGTTTGAGGAGTTCTGATTTCAAATCACAATTGGCTCGCCCAGGATTCGCTCCATTAGTCCACTTGTGTGAGGAGTTCTGTTTTAAACTTTGAGGCGCTCCATTAGTCCAGGTACGCCCCATTAGTCCAAGATACGCTCCGTTCGTGCCCGAGTAGTCCAAGGTTCGTCTCAGTAGTCCAAGGGTGTGAGGAGTTCCGCACTGCGCATTTATCTTACCTTCCAGGCATCGGCCCATCAGTCGGAAAAAAAAAATCATAATCGATATGGACGGCCAGCGCAAGTCAAGCGTGCGACGCAAAATAGGCCTGATAATTATGAAGCGAACTGCAGAGTGCTCCGTCTTGAAGTTGCTGCAAATCACCGTGCTTCATGCCCTTGCATGTCACGACATCATACCATCACGAATACAAGTAGAGCAGTAGCCACCGACGACGACGACGACGACGACGACGACGACGACGACGACGACGACGACGACGACGACGACGATGACTACTACTACTACTTCTTGAAAAGCCGGCTGTGCAGGACTGGAGCTTTGACTCATTTGTGGACAATCATTTGTAACGGCTTTGCTGGTTTCAGCTCCAGGCCAGTTCCTATCCTAGTCGCACCCCGCGTGCGGTTGGACCGCAGGCGGCTACCAAAACGCGACTGCACTGCAGGGCTGCCGTGCGCAATTGGCGTACTTAGTTACCCAAGGTTCTTGAGCCAAAAGACGGCACATGAATTGCATAGCTCATGCATTGAAAAACAACTGCTCACGGATGGCTGCCGTCAAGCACAGATGGACAGCTGGAGGATATGAGCTCACATACTGCTGCTGCTACGATGGTTATGATTGCTAGTACAACAACAACAACACGCACCACCACCACCGCTGCTACTACTAGGGTAGGAGGTAAGGCTGAAGGTTTAGGGCTTAAGGTTTTGGTTTAGGGTTGACGGTTTGGTTTTTCAGGTTTAAGGTTTAGGGTTTGCGGTTTTGGTTTGGGGTTTAGGGCTCAGGGTTTAGGATTGAAAGTTTAAGGTTTACGGTTTGGGGTTTAGGGTTGAAGGTTGCAGGCTTAAGGTTTAGGGTTTAGGGTTTAAGGCTTAAGGTTTTGGGGGGAAGTGGAGGGGGGGAGCAGAATTAGTCCACACACTCCCTCCCACCCAGCATCCATCCACCCCTTCACCACCCCTCAACCCATTCCACCCACCCACCCACCCACAACCCCCACAATACGCTTTTGCATCCACGTTCGATTAAATGCGTAGGGTACTAGTACTACTACTACTACTACTGCTGCTGCTGCTACTACTACTACTACTACTATTACTATTACTATTACTATTACCAGTACTACTGGTGCTATTACTACCACCACGGCCACCACCACTACTACCAACACTATTTCCCATGCCACTACCGCCACTACCACTACCAGTGCTGGTTGTCGCCGTGGCAGCGGTACTTTCAGCAGCAGCGGTGAGCATGAACGACATTATTATAGAAGTAGCAGCCGCATTCCCGCAGCAGCAGCAGTATCAGCTGTAGCAATAACGGCAGTAAAGTAACTTGGTATCTGTAGTTGAAATCTTTTGCAACGGAAAATATTTGGGGGATCATGGTGCGATGAGAGCTTCATTTTTTTATTTACGGTCCACAATACCTGCGCCTTGCAAGTGCAAACATTTCCACTAATGTAGTGTGCTTTCTGTCCATGCAAGTATTATGCCATGGCTGTCAACATGCTGCTCCTCCATGGATATTGCTAATTAGGACCATTGCGCCTGCAGCTTCTATTCGCGCAAAAATCGGACGGCTGTGCCTCAAAATCGCAACCCTTCATACCCTTGCTATCAAGGGCAGTATTTTGGATAATTGCCATTCTTTGGGATGTCCCTTGTGCACATACATCCTGAAATTTCAGCTGCTTGAACAGTTATGATGAGATGTCTTGATTTCGAGTCCGTAGAGTTTGCTGCCAATCCTACACCGCCGTTCTTTCTAACATTGATCAACATAACTTGGAAGCTTATACAGCATACGGGAAGCTTCGCTGCTGCATTACAATGCGGTGATGATTTGCCAAGGGACCTCGCTAGATTTGTTTACAGAATCTTGAGAAGATGTCGTGGGTATGCCTCAGATGCAAGTGTATGTTGCGCACAGATTGCTGGGGAATTGCAAGCGCGTGCCAAGTTCTTCTACGTCTTTTGAGGTCTTGATAGTACGGACTCTTGTTTTCAGCTGCATTGTTTCTGCCCATGCATATAACCTTAAGGAACTAAGGGCTAAACAGGACAGATCTGCAAGCCTACAAGAGTTGATCCCCACCTTTGCTTTAGGGCAATTCTATTGAAGAGGCTCCCCAACATATGCTTTTGTTGATTTTCAGCTTTTTCTCACAGCTGAGCTGGCCTTCAATTCGTTTGAACAATTTCTCAATCCCAAAGCTAAGGACCGTAAGTCTGGGGCCCGCAGTCAGGCGAAATCGTAAGCTTCAATCCTTGACCTCTCGGCGCTAAAGCATGAACCCTAAGCGACAAACCTTAGAATACTCGAAGCCATCAAATTGGGAAGGATGCGCTTTCAACATGCCGGCAAAGATCTTCACAGTTGTTGGGTGTGTGCCGCTCAACTCAGATCAGCTTGAATTTTAGGGTTTCAGGTTGACGGCATCGGGTCCAGGATAGACACTGTTTAGGCGGGAAACTCATTAGCTGTACCTAGATTACCCGCGTAATTCTCCGTGTTTGCGAACATAGCTGCCTGTTATACCCACTGAAGCTAGCATAGGGTCGTGCTTGCATGGGAATTGAGGGTCTAGGAAGTTTTCAGAAGCCTGGATTCTCTACTGAGAATGCTGAGAATGGCATCCCGTATGCATACTTCATTCCGGGGACTCACATCTGAGTATTGACTTCAACACGGCTTCGAGCAGTCCACGATACGACTAAATCTTTATGAAGGGTTTTGTTCCGCTTGGATTCCGCTTAAGGCACGACTTGTCCGACAATTGCTTAGCTGCCCTAGAGCGCGGCCACCTTTCTCTAACAAGAGAGGACAGAGCAAAAGCTAGAAAATGTCTCCCCACACCCTGAGCACTACGTTGGAGGAAGGATACGTTGGAGGAAGGAGGTGTGTGTGGGTCGAGCGTGAGGAAGTAGTCCTTGTGTTCTGATCTCACAATGAAAAATTTTTGGTATCAGACAGTCAACAGCTGGAATCTCGCCTGAACTCTGTATAGTACGGGCACCTATGCTGGGGTTCTGATCATGATCCGGATCACTACATAGACTTCCCCCGTTTAGAAACTCTTGCCTAGGCTTATTATCGGTCGGGTGTTCTCATAGCGCTCGCCCCGTGAGCGGCAGCCCTCCGGCAGTTCTGGATAGGCCCTTTGTGGCGCACGTTGCAGCACGGAGATGGCAGTTTCTCTAACTGTGTAGCTAGGGGAGCTGATGCAACTTCAAATGGGAGTTTCAAGCTTTATATGAGATTCTCTCAAACTTAATATGATGCTTTTGCAGTAACTCAAGCTCTGCAACAAGAGCAACAAACAGTGTTAAGTTATTTCGTTAACAGTCCAAACTATCGAGCATGATTGTCATTGTTACTTGTATGATTTTATAGATACTGTAGACAACTACCCCGAAACCCTGTTCCAGTGAGGCCCTCCACACTGAAGGTTTCTCAAAATAATCGCCGCAGCATTGCTTTGCAGGGACCCCCGAGAATCCTCTGTATGCACCCCATGTAATATGCCAGCAGCTGGGGAACTGCCAGGGTCTTTTTCATCGGCGCAATCATGTACGGCGTAGGATGGGGCCAGGCTGCGAGAAGTTTCTCGTTTTCGATGGTTTCGGGCTTTGGGGCTTAACTCTATGGAGTTGCCACATATCCTAAAAGGCTTTGGCAGTAGGATTCCGGTGATCTCAAGCGCTAGACCACAGCCCTCGGCTTTTGGTTCTGGGCCTTCAAGTTTCTGCAAGCATTATATCGATGAGACCCATTCAGATCATTGGGCTTTTGGGTATCCTTTGGGTTCAGGATAAGGAGGGCCAGCCGGAAGGGTACTGCAGCCCACTGTGATCGGTTTCTCAGCGTGGCATCCCTAGGTTATTCCCGTTTACTCTGTTGTGATTGCCACTGCTTGTTTCTCGTACTATCCTCATCTTTCATTCTCTTTTTCTTTGCGTTTATTCTGCTCCTATATGTGTATTCTGATTCATCGCGCTGTCACGGCTTGACCTACGTGCAAATCTTGCAACTGTTTACAGTAGCCGGTGTCCCAAACCCCAAATACGGCGAACACCAGTCGACTAAATAACCCGATCAACTTTGGTTCTTTGCTCCTCGACAGCCCCTCCCAAGTTTCGCCACGAAACGATGCTCGGTAGAGGTCCCTTCAACTTCCTTTTTAAGCCGGACACAAAACCTCCGCCCACCAGGTCCTAACCCCCAGGAATTGAAAAGCCCTAAACCCGATGGGCAACACGGCGCAAGCAGGGGTCCGTCGGGGTCTTTCTTTGATCCTGCCCTGAGCTCTAAACTCTCGGCCAGAGCGCCCTCGTCAAGAGCAACTGCTGAGTCCGTGGGGGGCTGACCATGGTGTAGAACGCAGGACCTGCGAAGCAATGTCCTGAGCAGCGACACATGGTTGTGGTCTACCTGCATGTGCAGGTGAAGAGAGAATGAGAGAGAGTGTGTGTGGGTCAACTCGATGATCAAACCTTGCTCCCTGAGAGACTGTAAGTTTGGCTAGACTCGAGTAGCATGCGCGACGTCCAGCTCGGCACGCGTAGCCGCAGCTAGTTCCCAGGTAAATCCTAAAGCTCCTAAAGCCCTACAGTTGGTAAACTGTAGCACCCAAAGCCTGAACCCAAGCCTTGAGCTCACAACCTCTGCAAGACTTGAATTTTACAGAACTTGGACAGGCAGGCGCGATAGCTGACAACCGCCTGCTGGTGAACGGACAGAGGACGGCCGACATTGTTGATACCCAAACCTGAACAGTTGCCAATGAATGCCCCGCAAGTCCTCAAACAAGTTTGCTCAAGGTAAGACAATCTCTTTGATTTTCTCATGGTTCTTTTGGGGTTGTCGGTCTTCGGGGGTATCGCCCTCTTCACCTCCTCATCTTACGCCCCAAGCTCTGTCCTCCCCTTTGGCCCTCAAATGCAGCCCTTTGCGCAAGGACCTTCACAGTTACGCTCGACCACAGTGCCGGTCTCGTTGGTTGATCGAGGCTTTGATAGGGCCCTGTATATAGGAAACTATGATGTGGAGGTCATAAGGTGCTTACAGATCACGAGGGGATGACCTGGTGGCTATGTTAGAGTTTGAGATGGGACAGGCCTGCCCTAGGCAGGGGTCTACTTCAGCTTGTTTGACGAATGTCGATAATTGAGCTGTTTCAAGGGACCTGTAGAATGAGGACTATTACTGTAACTAGAAACCAGGTTTGGAAGCAGGAATCTGCATTCACCGACATGTCGAGCAGCTGCCGTTGTTACCTTCAACGCAGGCCTGCTTTGACTTAAGCTTCTTCTTTTGCTTGCAGCTCGTCAATCTCTTCGCTGAAAATTGCAGTTTCAGTTGCTTATAACAGCCAGGTCTGAATCATTCAGGTACCTCCCCACCCCACGCATGGACCGACTCCTGCACTCACTTGGCAGACAAGGAGCCGACCTGGCAAGCGAGATTCTAGAAGCGAGTCAGCTTCAAAGTCTGAGGAACCCTACGCTTGCGATTACACACGGTCCAGTATCAGCAGCCCAGTGACAGGCGTCCTCTACTGAAAAACCTTGCATGGTCCAGCCCATGAACTACTGTAAAATCCTTCCTGGTCATGCCCACATTCCTTTGGAGAAGTGTAGGCTTCAAGCCCTACTCAAACACTGGCGGCTTCTGCACCGCAAACGGGCCTGAGGCATGCTCTTCAGCGGCGTCGTCTTCTTGACACGCAGAGGCATGGCGTTATCGCAAGGGTTTCAGCTGCTGGCCAGAGAGGACGAAGAAGGGACATGCGAATCCCTAAGCACAATGGCTAAACTAGTGAGAGCTTAACCGAGGCATCCACTCAATTCCTGCACTCCTTCATAGCCAGACTGGGCTTGCTTGCAGTCTTGCTTGTTGTGAGGCTTGTTCACGCTTGCAGAAGACAGCTCATCCGCTTGTACTGTAATTGTCTGCAGTACGAGGCTTAGGCCATAGATTTTGTTCGAAATAGAACACTCCCAAATAGTTTTGAACATTTCAGGGGGTGGGTAGAAGTCAGAACATGGTCGTCTAGGACGGCATCTGTTCCTGTCAAAGGATCCTCAGAAAGGGCACCAGAAGCCCTCAATCCCAGAACCTTGGACCCGACCTTGATCCTGAACTCGCAGCTCTACACAGTAGGGTTCGATTGATTCAGGGCTGGGGGCATAGGCTTTGGGGCCGCCCCAGATTCCTTGAACATCAACAGCTACAACCACCAAGCTACAAAGAGAGACGTCAACCTGTTTGTCAATTTAGCAAAGTCTTGCGAGGAACCAACTGCCAGGACCACGTTGCCTCGGCTTCTCGGCTTTTTGATAACGCGCAATTACTTGCACAATGGAATCCTGCCATTCTGTATTGAAGTGGTATCTGCGGGGTATGCTCTCACGTGAGAGGTCTAGGATTCCGGCCTAATTTTTAAGTTGATGGGGTCATCTAGGATTTCTTGGGGGCATGTAAAAGAGTCGTGTTGAGTTCAGTGGTTTTGTTCTTCTTCACCTGACGTAATGCAGGGGCGCGTAGAAGAATACATGGTTGTGTGCGGCCCCTTCAGCATTGACTAGGGGTTTCCTGGTAGACGCACATGCGAGAATTTCTTAACATCAGGGCTCCCTTATCAATCCCAGCAAGAAGGATCCCATTGTCTAGGGGACACTGTATGTGAAGTAAGTTCCAAGCAGCGGATGCGCATGTGAAACGGGGTCTTCATCCTCATGTTGGCGCGGTACGATTGTTCTCTCCTTTATTTGTATAGGGGTGTCCTCTTAATGCCAAGATATAGGTTGTACAAGCCTGGGTGAGCCCTGAATTCCGCATCCAGTCGAGGACTAAAAAGCTCTTCTTTGAAGGAGCGCACATTATGATGTACAAACTTCCTACTTGATAAGAATTGGGTACGGAAGGGCTTTGAGTCTGAGGGCTCAAATTGTAATTTGTAAGGCGCCGCAATGATCAGAATCATCCAGGAGATTATGGAGGGTCAGGCGATTCACGGGATACCTTGTATGGCCCGTCAAGTGAAAGCCATCAGCAGTTCAACACACGGGGAGCCGTTCATGAGGAGCTGTTTTCTATTGCTAGGCCATCTGGAGAGAGCCGTACTGTTTGGCATGTTGAGGGCACACCTACTTTGAGACGTAGAAGACTAAAGCCGCAGCAGACCGAAGAAGGGTCTTGTGTCTAGGTCAACAAGGCAGGTGCCAGTACTTGGGCCGTGTTCCTGCTTGTCAGCTCAACATTGTCCACACCACGACGCTGGAGCAAGAAACACTATTTGCTCCCTGCTTTGGTGAAGGCGTGCCGACTTTCTGATCAAGGGGTTGAGGGCGGAGTTTGGGATCTGGGGTGCAGGCACCCTGCTACCCCAAATCAAGGATAGAATGTGCCCAAGACAGGTATGGACAAAGGTGTCCCGACATCTCCTATCAGAGTTGAGTGTTTGCTTATACCGCGGTCAAATATGGAAATGCGGCTGCTGATTGTTTGTACGTGGAAGTTCGCGCAAATTATTGCTCCCGCAAGAGGGAGGTTAGTATCCTGAATCCAAGTCGGTGTAATTCATAGGCTTCGGACCCCTGCTCATAGATTTAGAGCCCCCGAGCAAAGCAGGAACCCGGTTGATGTTAATCTACGGGCCTTGTCCACAGGTTTCTAGAGCTGAAAGGCCCCGTGAACTAGACCGTATTGTCGAAGCATATTACGTATGCCCTAGGTTACTGAAGTCCCTTGTTGTAAACATTGACTACAACAGCTCAGCTAAAGGCTTGGTTTGGGGTTCCACAGGTAGGGAAGCCCTTGTCAATTTGAGCTGCTGATGTCAGTGTAGCAGCTCAAACGGATGTGCATGATAAGCCGCCGAGCGGAAGATGCGCAGTATTAGGCTTAATTGTTAGAGGAGCGGGGTTGAAGGGCTGATGAGATTGGGGGTGCTGATATGACCTCCTGTCTGGGAATACCAGAACCGGCAAGCCGAGACTTAGCAACCAAGCAGTGCTCAAGGCCGGAATAGGTGCCTGTCTGTCAGGCCCAGCAGAGAGATAGCCCCTCCAAGCCAGGACGGAGTGCAGGCCTTGCCCGACATTCCTGAGACCTCGAACAAAAGCTGATATGGACACCTGAATACATGCAATGAACATTATGTCTATGCCTGCCTACACAGCAACTCCTCGGTTAATCTCAAAGTTACTCCTTTTCCAACGACCTCGATTTCGTGGGATTTTAAACCCCCTCATGGCTTCATCCCAGGAGTCACAGGAAAGGACTTTAACCGTTTAAGTGGTAAGCCGGAACATGGCCAAAGGCTGCTAATGCTAAACTGTGACAAACATTCAGGCCTTCAACCAAGGCTTCTGCTATTGCTAATACTGCTGCTGCTAGCTCTCGTCCTGGGGCTGCTGGCACGAATGTTTGGCGACCGCGGCCACGACGACCATGAGAACGAACAAGACCAGGACGGAGCCTGCAGCGAGGAGGAGGAGGCGGAGGAGGACGCGGACGAGGACGAGGCAGAACGACATCAACGAACAACGGACCACTGACACAACAGGAACACAAAGCCGGAAACAAAGACGAAGCCAAAGGCTACCGCCACAGCGGCCATGTGAGGCGCCCGAAAAGAAGACCACTACGACACCGTGCAACGACTGCACAACCACCACGACCACGACCGCGACCACGACGGCCATGATGGCCATGATGCTGCTACTGCTACTGCTACTGCTACGGCGTACTGCTACGGCTACGGCCACGGCTACCGCTACTGCGAGGTCGAAATCGACGATGACGGCAACGTTAAATGCCGTTGCTGATGCTGCTGCTGTGGCTACTGCAATCAGTGACTGGCGCTACTAGCTATCAACAACATCATCACCACCACCACTGTGAATATGCTGCCTAGGACCCTGCCTAGGAGCCCGGTCCCACAACCTTAAAGGATCCCAAAGTTCCTACAACCCTTTTCTAGAGAGACCCTGTCTCGAAGGACCCTGTCCAAACCTGTAGCCTAGGCACCTAGCACCCTGTGCACGCCTTTGTCCTTGTTGGTCAAGCAAACTCCACCCTCCCACCGCTGAGC